AGTGTAGATTGCTTTGGCTTGAGTTCACCAAAAGGTCAACACTTTTGCAGCTGAATTTTTTTCTAGAGAATTTTTACCAGATAAAAATTGAGTGTAAGGAATCCAATGTCTAAAAAAATTCAGTGTTTAAAATTCTGTGTTAAAAAAAGGCAGATTCCAATGAGACTGTTTTTCTTCCATAGAAGTAGATGTTAGCAGTTTTTCAGGTATATGGTGCAAACTGCAGGCACCAGGATAACAGCAAACATATTTTGCTGGCAGGTTTCTACATTTGAAGTTAATTTAGGTGTTAACTGTTTCAGAGGAGTGATCATAGCGCTCTGCATCAGCAGCGCTGTGTCTGACTCCCTGCCAGCTCCCAGATCAGCTTCTCTGATTGGTCGATGTGGCGCGTCCAGCAGCTAAAGTTAAGTTTTTCCAACTCCAGCAGCTGCTGACTGACATTTTGAGCAAAGTTTCCAAGAACAGGGCATAAATTAGTCATACACATGCCGCTTTGTTTTTAAAAGATATAAATATAAAAAATATAACCGCGGATGTCTGGGAGACAGCGATTCGCCTCCATGTTCTGAATGCTGGCGTACCATAAAGAATAATTTATGAGCAGTTTAATTTGTGCCTTGAAGTCGTTGCCCATAAGAAGACGTTACTTGGATATAACCTAACGGAATATCTTCAGAACGGCTCCAAATGACACAAAACTCATGAGTGAGTAGAACATGATGGAATAACGTAAACTCAAGGGCCCAATGTAAAAGAAAAAACGGTGTTCCCCTTTAACAAAAAAGTTTGAAACAACTAAAATGTATCTTATATTCTAGGTTCTTCAAAGTAGCCACCTTTTGCTTTGATTACTGCTTCTCACACTCTTGGCGTTCTCTAACCCCAACTTCTCCTGAAGCTTAAAGTTATAGACTGCTAAAGTGTTGAGTTTAAAATCTGACTTACTGAGCAGACCTGTTTATACGTTCTTTTTATATCCTGAGAGAACCTAAAAACTAAGCGGAAGCTCAGAGCAGACCGTTACAGCTTCAAAGCTCTGGAATGACCTTCTTCAGCACATCAGACATCTTATGTACTTGTGTGAATACTGTTTTGTGTTTTACATGTTATATTTTATGTTTGTTTGTTTTTTTTTTTACAGAATTTTGGTTAGCTGGGATTATTTTATAAGTGCTTAACAAATGAAATTGGATTGGATTTTTTCTGTCTGTGTCTCTGCTTCTGTCTCCTTGAACCCCAGTGGGCCTCAGCAGATGGCCGCTCACACTGAGCCTGGTTCTGCTGGAGGTTTCTTCCTGTT